AATTTTCAGAAATTTTCAGGGAATGATTAAGAGATTTTTGAGGGGCTCTTCTAGCCAAGGCTCTAAGGATAAACAAGCTAAGGAGAATGAAAAGGCCAAGTATAATCTCCCCCGTGTGGCGGAAGTACGGCCGTGTGAATGGCCTTGTGATGATTTCTTGAGAGCAGCCGGGATTTATGATGACTTTTATTCGTTGGTTGATAATGTGGGCCTCACCGACTTCCTCCACGGCCAGATCGAACAGTCTCTCTTACTCACCAATACTTTTGTGCAAAATTTCTACTTTTATCCTAAGAAATCACCTCCTTCAGTAGTGTTTCATTTATATGATGTGGCTAGGGAGATGTCATTATATGAATTTTGCACGGTTTGCAAGATACCTTTCGGGGGCAGTTTAGAGGAACCACATCATAAAGATGTGGATGGATTTATTGATACTATTACTGTAGGGGAAACGAGGAGGGTTTCCGATGCAAGAATTACTAGCATACATTTTCCTGTTTTACGCTACTTTGCAATATTTGCTAGTTGATGCTTAATTGGTCACGGAAACTGTGGAAACCTTAGTGTTCCTGATATTATTATTTTGTTCCATGTCTTATTTCGTGATAACTCTATTAGTATGGGTGCCATTATTGCTAAACGTTTAAGCCTGAACCGTACAAAGGGCCCCATCTTTGGAGGTATCTATGTTGCTCGCCTTGCTAAACATTTCAGGATACCCATTAGGCATTTTGAGAAAGAGGAAAAACTGTTGCCCCCTACCTTTCTAGATTATAAGAGCATGGTAGCACATGAGTTTATTGTTAAAAATGATGATAAGATGCTTTTGTATAATTTGAGATTTAATAAGAAACACAGTGAGACTATTATCTTGCCTGCGTCCTCTTTGTTTGATTTAACTGCAGGCCCTTACCTCGTCTTGCCGGAGGCCGTCTATGCGCTCTGTGGCCAGACATCAGCTCCACAGCCTGAGCCGGAACCACCACTTGACCTTTATCGACCATCCTGTTATCAGTGGGATCTGGAGGAGATCTTAAGCCAGTGGCAGTATGATGACACTCCTCAATACACCGGGGAGAGTAGCCGCGATCCATGGGCATAGACCAACTTAGGCCAAAAGCCTAAGCTTGGGGGAGTATGTATTTCTCACCGACATTACATTCATGTTCACACGTTCATTTTAGTTGTCGGTGCTCGTACTTCTTCATTGTACTATCCATACTAGTTTAATTTTTTTTCACACAAAGCTACTTTTAGCGGCCCATAACAGATATTTAAATCCTGACCCATGTGACTTGTGAAGCCAAAACCTTCAATCATGTGACTTGCAGGATGCGACGTACAAACAACGACGGATCAAAAGTTTGATATGTGAAATCGATCGACGCTTTAGTATCACCTCGCGTATATGTTTTAAATTCAAACTGAAAGCATAAATTCACAGTAAGAAAGCGTATTGTGACGGTGAATCCAAGGAGTCAATTCGTGCTTTATTATTATTAGGGAAAGATATATAGCCCCGAAGGGGTGTATCCGAAGGGACACGAGGCAACCGCATTGGTTAGGAAAAGTAAGGATTAATTAAATCCTAACAGTTCTGTAGCGCTAGTCCTATAGGGGTTTAACACGATAACTTTTTGACTGACTATTACAAAAGTTTTCTGTAGCTCCAGGGAGGGAGGGGTGATGACAGTAGCACGTCTTCAGCTCGTGCTTGTATTCGTCACTGAGTGGTCTATAGATATGATTGTAGTAATTTTTATTATTTCTGTTATTTATTGTACTACTCCCTCCATCTCAGTTTACAAGGCTTGCACGTGTATCTAGGCTTTCAATTTAACTTATATAAAATAAATTGTTTAACATAAAAATTATATCATTAGAAAATAGAATATCTAAAGTTTCTAATGATATATATTTTGTAACGTATGGCTCTTATTAAGTTGGTCAAATTAACGACCTAGATACACGCGCAAGACTTGTAAACTGAGATAGAGGGAGTACTATCGTAATTGATAGAAAAAAGACACAAGAGCAGTGGCATGTGCCATGCGGCAGATGAGGAGGGGAAAAGTCCATTTTAAACCTTGAACTTGTAGAGGTTCGGCGAAATGAACCCCCACATTGAAATCTCTGTCTTTTGCACCCTGAACTATACAATCCCGGTCCAAATCAAACCCTGGCAAATTTCAACCGGGATTCTTCTGACTGGTGGGCCAGGAAGTGACAGTGTTAACCACGGCACGCACCCGTCCTCCGCACTGGGCCGGCCCATTTGTCTTTTTTTCGGTTACACTTATATTTCGGTGTTTGTGACATTTCAAAAAATATTCAACCGTTACAAAAAGTACTTGGCATTTCAAAATAGATTTACACATTATAAAAATGTATATATCTGTAATTTAAAAAATATACATTACATTTGGAAAATGTTCACACATTTCGAAATAATGTTCATAATATTTTAAAAAATGTATACAATGTGCAAAAATGTCACGTAGTTTTAAATAATGTTTCATACCATCCCAAAAATGGTTAACACGTTTTTGCAGTAAGTTTCAAATATTTGTATTTGAAAAAAGAATGTTAACAATATTGTAAATACCAAAAAAGGCGAATGGGTATGAAAAAAGTAGATGTATAAATATATATATTTAAAAAATCAATAATGTATACAGAAAATGTTGAACGTGTATAAAAATGTTTCCGATATATACGAAAAAAAGTAGCAGTACATCATTTGTTCACGCAAGCCGAGTAGCAGTACATCATTTGTTCGAAGCCCACCCATACCATTATTGTTTCCTTTTTATTTGAGGTGCTTCCTACGTAAAAAAAATAACCGGAGAGCTTCACAATTTTTTCCAAAATCTGTGAACTTTACTTTTGAAAATCCGTTAATTTTTTTCAAAATCTGTGATTTTTTAAAAATTCGTTAACTCTAAATTGATGCACCTTTTCCAAATCTGTGTACTTTTTATCAAAATTGATGAGCTTTTTAAAAAATCGACAAACTTTTTCCAAAATGATGAACTGTTTGTAAAAACGAGGAACTTATTCAAAATTGATAAAAATCCGTGAACTTCCTAAAAAAAGGATTGATGAACTTTTTTATTTATTTCTGTGTTTTTTGGAATTTCTACCGATCTTTTTTCATTTCTGTGAACTAAAAAAGGGGCAAATTGGTCTATTTTCCTGATAGTGTACAGCTAAGTCAAGGTGACTGGGTGGTTTATGGGTACAGCCGTCAATGTAAGTGACCCGAGTTCGTATCTTGCTACTCGGAAAAATTAGCTTGAGTTTTTTTTTTGCGTGATTTCTGTGGTTGCTGGGCCTCGCGTAGAACACGCCCGTGGGGAGCGAGTTGGGCGTCACTGGGATGGCCCGGTCTTTTCCGCGCGTACGCCTCGCAGCATCCTGGCCACGCTGACAATCCCCCGTTTAAAATGAACTTTTTCCGATGAGGAGCGGCGAACCGCACGCGTAGGGCACGCGGTACGCAGCGCGGACAGCGAAGAAAACGCCCGCGAGGCGAGCGCGTCCATTGGCTTTGGCTTGCGCCAGGAAAAGCGCGCAGCCTCGGTATCCCTACCCGGGCACGTGGTTGGCTGGAGGAGAGTTCGCTCCACAGCTGTGTCCTCTCGCCGTCCGCGTCTCGGACATGACACATGGCGACGGCGACCATCGAAATCGACGACCCGATCTTGTTTGGACTAGTAGTTACAATGGGAGTAACTTGACTAGTAACATCACACATTTCAATATAAAATTGCTTATGTGGTAGCTAATTAATGAGGAGAGAGGGGTTTGTGGTAACTTAGCTAGTTACTATAACATCACACATTTCAAGACACAATGAGTCTATAGCCTAATAAATGAACTCTTTCATGATGCCACTCATATGTTACTACCCACTATGGAGGTAGTAACATAGACTAGTAACATCGGCAAATTACTACTCTATGTTACTCTCCACTGTGAGCAGTCTTATTGTACTGGGATAAGCCAGGTAGCCACTTCGCAGGCGTTGCAAGTACTTCGGTTGGGGTGGTCACATTCTTTGGTCGGGTCGGCCCCATCTTGTCATTCGCCCACCGCGTATACCGCCGCAGCCAAAACCGTGTGCGTGTCACGCACTCCCTTCATCCTGCCAGCCTGAGGTGGAGGCGGACAGCGTGGCACCAGTGCGGCGGAGCGAAGAGCAGCCAAGTCTTGGGAGGAAGAAGAAGAGATGGGCAAAGAGTGAAGAGTAGGTGTGTGTGTGGGTATAACGTGTGGGCCAAGGGCGGGCCGTGACCATATATGTAAGCGCAAGTGCGGTGTACCAGACAGCTGTGACAAGGAATATCAGAATTCTCTCCTCTCCTCGTGTACCATCCTCACCTACTCCTTCTTCCTCCTCCGACCTCATCTGGTCGGCTGTTCCCCTCGATCTCATCCCCTCCTGTTCTGATCCTCTCTAGGGTGCGCAATAAGGTCGAATCTCTCTCCCTTGTCGCATTTACGTGTCTATAAGCTGTGGCAGTGGCGCCCCTGCTTGTTCTGCTGAGGCTGGGAGCAAAGGTGCGATTTACCTGTTTTTAACGTTTCGATTTCCTTCGTCGCAGCCAAAGCATGTTTTCCTTGTTCTTCGTTGAGTTAATCCTCTTCCTTTGTTCCTCCATTTTGTTCTTTTGGGTTGAGAAAAATTAGCACCAAGAGTTGTGGCTGAGCATTTGGTCATTTCTGGGTTGTGTCGAAACTTTGTGCTAGCTAATTCGTCAGCCTGTTGCTGAAAATTTTCCTGCGCAGGTGCACACGAGGAGATACATTACTAGGCTGGCCGGCTGAAGTACATCCAGCAAATTCAAGAGCGGCAGTCCCTTGGAGGAGGAAGAGGTAACTGAGAAGCTAGTAGCTAGTTAAGGTTGATACGGTTACCTAATTCCTTGGTTTGGTTGTTAATTTGTCGCCCGATCTCTAGATCCGTAGGTAGGTACTCGGCAGAAACAGCAAGGATGGACACTCCCCTAAGTATTTTGAAGGACATTTTTGGACTGGCTCTCAAAATCAAGGAGGCGGTGAATGCGGTTCGCCAGAATAAGGAGGTTTGCCTTGAGATCAGAAAACGCGTGAACACGCTGCATGCTATCCTGTCGTGCCTCACGAAATCGGAGATGCTGATGCATCCGGCCATGAGCGAGGCACTTCAGATCCTCCAAGGCACCCTCTCTCGGGCTCTCCACCTTGTCATGGCCTGCCACGAGGAGAAGAACGTCATCTCCAAAATCTTTTCGGCCACTAGCTTGTCCAAAGACTTGCATCAGGTGAACAAGGATATCATAGAGGACATGGCCATCGCAAACTTTGGCAACACTGTCCACAACACCATCATGCTCAGTAAGCACGCTCAACATGAGGCTCCACTAAAGGTACCTATTTACTATGCCTGCACCATACATATATCTATTGTTCTCTAACTATACTCCCACCTTACACATGCCTATTAGATAAATCTATTATATCTCTCATTTCTAATTTTCTTCAATAGTTAGTCTAAGATATCCTGATATGAGTAGTATGAAAAATATTGTCGCTGAACTTAGCTTACCATATATCCTTTTTATATAAAGAAAAAGGGTATAATACAACATACCTAAAAGTACCCATTTTGTGAGAAAATAAAGCTTTTGAAAATACTATAAGTTAGACCAAATAAAATCATTAGGGGATCAATTTTGTTATTATCTTTTGCTTTTAGTAAAAGCAGGACCAGCTTACAGAACGTAATTAAATTGCAAGTTTGACTATGTCTCCTTAATTTTAGTCATGTCTCATAGTAGGTCAGACTTTTGAGTGTTACCTTTATCTTGTTTTCATAATCTATACTCATTGCAGGAGGAAACAGATTCTTCCGTCGGAAAGGAGCAAATAGATTCTGCAGTAGAAAGCGCGGCTGCTTCCATGTCATCAGGTAAAGTCACATCTTCTATCTTTCGAAAGGAGAAACAACACCCTCGATCTCCAGCATAACTATCATGCACGCATGATAGGTTACGTAGACCGTATTATTACTTTTCAATGTTTATTGGCCACTTAATTAGCTATTGCAAATTAACTATACAATTTATTTGGTAGCGATGATGCTCTTACTGTACCGTGTTTGGGTAATTAAAAATTTTGAGCTGCATTTGCGTAATCTCATTTCTGTATGCATGCCTTGTTTCTACGACAGGGTTCAAATGGTACATTTTGTCTGAGCTGGAGAAGGCTACAGATAACTTTTCAGAAGAAAATGTGATTTGGAAATGTGGCAGTGTTACCATCTACCAGGTACTGTATGCTTGCTTTGCAAATTCTGTTTTTGGCTTGTGTCACGGTCCTAACTCGAGGGTGTCACACCGGACGAATTATAGATCAGAAACCAGAATATTTGATACAATCAGAGAGAAGTCTGGAGGAGGAAGAAGAAGCACAGGGGAAGGGGAAAGTGGTTTCAGCAACAGTACAGTTTCATCCATGCATGCTCGTCTAGATTTGGCCAATTGCTTATGGACAAAAATGGCTTTTTACTACGTTTGGAAA